GCCTCTGAACTTGTGTTACACGTTTACTGTGTGTGTCTGTGTTTGCGTCACGTTTGTATTGTCCCTGTCTTTGTTCAAGTAACTTTCATTATGGGACAGAGTCATTCCACGCCTCTGTCCCTGACCCTTGATCACTGGACTGAAGTCCGCTTAAGGGCTCAGAATCTTTCTTTTTCAGTAAAACGCCGGACCTGGCAGACTCTCTGTGCCTCAGAATGGCCCGCCTTTGGAGTCGGATGGCCTCCAGAAGGATCTTTCTACTCCCCACTAATTCGAAAAGTCAGAGATATTGTTTTTCAGCCGGGGCCACATAGCCATCCAGATCAACAGCCGTATATCTTAACTTGGCAGGACCTCTGTGAATCTCCTCCTCCATGGGTGAAGCCTTTTCTTGTCCCTGTCCCCACTCCTACTCCTCCCCCCGCGATTCTATCTCTCAAACCCTCTGCTCCTCCTCCACCCTCTGTTCTCCCTGAGTCTCAAGATTTGATTCTACTGGATTCTCCTCCCTTTCCTTATCCCCTGCCTTTGTTCCCCAACCCCCAACACCCTCTAAGTGATTCTCCTGCTGCTGACTCAGCCTCTCCACCATTGGAGGAGGTTAAGCCGGCCCAGCACCCTCCAGATAACTTCCCCGAGGCACACATAACCCCTCCTCCCCTGGAGGAAGCTGGCCCGGCTAAAGGAACTCTCCGGCAGTGAATGATTAAAAACCCTGAAGCCCCCGTGATACTTCCCCTCCGCCCTTATGGGCCAATGATAGAGGATGGCCATGGTGGAGAAATGCAAGCCTACCAGTATTGGCCTTTCTCCTCTTCAGATCTATATAACTGGAAAAATAACAATCCCCCTTTTTCCGAGGACCCCACCGGGCTCACAGGTCTGATTGAGTCATTGATGTTTTCACACCAGCCTACTTGGGATGACTGCCAACAACTCTTAGGCACTCTCTTCATGACAGAGGAACAAAAGAGAATCCTCCTGGAAGCTAGGAAAAAAATATCCTCGGACCAGATGGGCGACCGACACAACTTCCCAACATAATCGAAGCCGACTTCCCCTTGAACCAACACAACTGGGACCCCAACACCTTTGAAGGTAGGGAGCATCTGTCCACTTATCGCCGGGCTCTAATAGCGGGTCTCCGAGCAGCCGCTAGACGGCCAACTAATTTGGCCAAGGTAAGAGAGATTATTCAAGGGCCTGATAAATCTCCCTCTATGTTTCTAGAGAGAATTATGGAGACATATAGGAGATATACTCCTTTCGATCCTCAAGCAGAGGATCAAAAGGCATCTGTCACGATGGCCTTTATTGGGCAAGCTGCCCTGGATATTAAAAGAAAGTTACAACGCTTAGATGGATTACAAGATATGACTTTGAGAGATTTAGTCAGAGAAGCAGAGAAGGTATACTATAAGAGAGAAACTGAGGAAGAGAAGGAACAAAGGAGGGAGAAAGAAAGGGAGCAAAGGGAGGAAGAAAGAAGCAAAAGACAGACTGAGGCATTGACTAAGGTCCTGGTCACAACAACAAATAGGCCAGAAGTTAAGAGACAGGGAGACAGAAAGGGATACCTGGGCCCACGCCAGAAGCTACCACCTCTGGCCTCAGATCAATGTGCCTACTGTAGAGAAAAAGGACACTGGGCCAAAGAGTGCCCTAGAAAGAAACAGCCACACCAGCCAGCCATTCTAACTCTGGAGGATGACTAGGAAAGTCAGGGCTTGGATCCCCTCTCCGAGCTCAGGGTAACTTTTGAAGTGGAGGGGACCTCAGTAAACTTTGAAGTGGATACAGGGGCAGTATACTCAGCCCTTAAGGCCCCATTGGGCCCTCTATCAACTAAAAGGTCTCTAGTTCAAGGGGCTAACGGCAGTAAATATCAGGCTTGGACAACTAAGAGGACCATGGACCTGGGAAAAGGAAAAGTCCATCACTCCTTCCTAGTGATCCCAGAATGCCCAGCCCCATTGATGGGCAGAGATCTGCTCACCAAGCTCCGGGCCAGAATAACTTTTAACCCTGAAGGCCCCCAAATGGAATTTCTAAATCCTTCAGTAAAAACTCCTATAGTCATGGCTTTAACTATGTCAGTAGAAGATGAACATCAACTCTTCACACCCCCCAAGACTGATCAAACAGGCAAGCTATCCCAGAAATGGATAACAGATTACCCAGATGCCTGGGCAGAAACTGCTGGGTTAGGCCTAGCCGTAAAACAACCTCCAATAATGGTGGAGTTAAAAACCTCAGCCTCCCCAATTAATATTAAACAATATCCTCTGAGCAAAGAAGCTAAAGATGGGATAAGGCCCCATATTCAGAAATATCTGGCCTTAGGGGTCCTAAGGCCCTGTCAATTGGCCTGGAACACTCCCCTGCTACCAGTAAAAAAGCCAGGAACCGGGGACTATCGCCCTGTTCAAGACCTAAGAGAGATCAACAACAGAGTGCAGGACATTCACCCCACAGTACCTAATCCGTACAATCTGCTTAGCACCCTGAACCCTGAGCAAAAATGGTATACTGTCCTGGACTTAAAAGATGCTTTCTTTTGCTTGCCTCTGCATAAAGATAGTCAGTTGCTGTTTGCTTTCGAGTGGGTAGACCCAGAAACTGGAACGTCTGGTCAACTAACTTGGACCAGACTCCCACAGGGGTTCAAAAACTCCCCCACTCTCTTTGATGAAGCCCTCCACAGAGATCTCAACAACTTCAGAACCATGCACCCTGAAGTCACCCTACTCCAATATGTGGGTGACCTGCTACTGGCAGCAGACACCAAGGAAAACTGTGAGTCTGGGACCCAAGCACTACTATCCAAGCTTGCTCAACTCGGGTATAGAGCTTCTGTCAAAAAGGCCCAAATTTGCCAGCAAGAAGTAATCTTCCTGGGCTATTCCCTTAGGGGCGGTAAACGATGGCTCACTGAGCCCAGAAAACAAACCGTTGTGCAGATACCACCCCCATCTAATAGGAGGCAACTCAGAGAGTTTCTTGGGACTGCTGGCTTTTGCAGGTTATGAATACCTGGGTTTGCATCCTTAGCTGCTCCTTTATACCCATTGTTAAAGGGAAATGCCCAATTCCAATGGAACCCTGAGCACCAACAAGCTTTTGATAACATCAAAAGGGCGCTGCTATGTGCTCTGGCCTTAGCACTCCCGGATGTAGAAAAACCCTTTACTCTCTACATTGAGGAAAAGAAAGGAATAGCACAAGGAGTGCTCACTCAGACTCTAGGACCCTGGAGAAGGCCTATAGCCTACTTATCTAAAAAGCTGGACCCAGTGGCTAGTGGATGGCCCCATTGCCTAAAAGCTATAGCAGCGGCGGCCCTACTAATCAAGGATGCTGATAAGTTAACGCTGGGGCAGAAGCTAACCGTTATAGCCCCCCATGCCCTAGAGAGCATCATCCGCCAGCCACCAGACAGATGGCTATCAAACTCTAGAATAACACACTATCAGAGCCTGTTGCTTGACAAGGACAGAATAATACTGGGACCCCCCCCACCCCGCTTAACCCGGCTACACTACTACCTGAACAATCATCAGAACCCGTCACTCATGACTGTCAACATATACTGGCAGAAGAAACCAGTATACGACAGGATTTAAAGGATCAGCCTAACTATTGCTGCCCCACCCTGAGGTCATATGGTTCACTGATGGCAGCAGCTTTCTCCAGGACGGTAAGCGGTGGGCTGGGGCAGCAATAGTTAGCAGAACTAAAGTCATCTGGTCCTCTAGCCTCCTGGAGGGAACATCGGCTCAAAAAGCAGAGCTGATCGCCCTCACGAAGGCATTAGAACTAGCGGCAGGCAAAAAGGCCACCATATACACAGATAGCCGCTATGCCTTCGCTACCGCTCATATATACAGGGCTATCTACCAGCAAAGGGGACTATTAACCTCGGCGGGAAAAGAAATAAAAAACAGAGATGAGATCCTCCGCCTCCTCTCAGCAGTGCAAAGCCCTAAAGAACTAGCTATAGTGCACTGTCCAGGACACCAGAAAGGAAACGATCCCGTAGCGGTCGGGAACAGGAGGGCGGATGAAGAGGCTAAATTGGCAGCCCTAAACGGAGTAACCATGTTAACGCTTTCCACACGGGGGGAATATGAGTCAGGAGATTTAACTACATCAGAGCACCCTGACAATTTAACATCTAAGGACACTGACACTGAACTCCTTGACTACACTGAGCCCAGCTTGCAATTTCAGAAAGCCCTACACTACATTAAAAAGGTACATCAACTCACTCACCTTGGTTCAAAGAAACTGCAGGCATTCCTAAAGGATCAAGAACAGTTTTCCACTAACCGGCTCACAGAGAAAGGAAATAGCTGAATGAGTAACAAAAGCCTATCGGGCCTGTCAATTGGTTAATGCTTACCCCTCCAAGCTTCCTGTAAGAAGGCGCCTTCGAGGGACCAGACCAGGACAATTTTGGGAAGTGGACTTTACTGAAATTAAGCCAGCAAGGTATGGACTTAAATATCTTCTAATCTTTGTAGATACGTTTTCAGGATGGATTGAAGCCTTCCCCACAAAAAAAGAAACAGTGCAAATGGTGGTCAAGAAGATCCTGGAAGATATTTTTCCAAGATATGGCCTGCCTAAGGTAATAGGGTCTGATAATGGACCGGCGTTCGTGGCCCAGGTAAGTCAGGGGTTAGCCAGGACCCTGGGGATTAATTGGAGGTTACATTGTGCTTATAGACCCCAGAGCTCAGGACAGGTAGAAAGAATGAATAGAACCATTAAAGAGACCTTGACGAAATTAAGCTTGGAGACCGGCATAAAAGATTGGACTATGCTCCTGCCTTATGTTTCGTGCAAGAAATACTCCCTCTGTTTCTTTGTGTAACCTCACCCCCTATGAAATTCTCTATGGTGCCCCTCCTCCAGTAAGGGACCTAACCCCAACTCTAAGACCTGACGATCCCTTCCACACCCCCTTGCTTGACAGACTTAAAGCTCTTGAAAAAACTCAGTGATACCTGTGGAAACAGCTGGCCACTGCCTACAAACCTGGGGACGAAGGAACTCCACACCAATATCAAGTGGGAAACTTCATCTACGTAAGACGACATCAGGTGTCATCCCTGGAACCCCGCTGGAAAGGACCATACCAGGTGCTACTTATAACACCTACAGCGGTAAAGGTAGATGGAATCACTTCCTGGATCCATGCCTCTCATCTCAAGCCTGCGCCCTGTCCAGACTCTGGCTGGAAATTGGAAAAGACTGGTAACCCTCTCAAATTGCATATTCACTGTGTGGATAAGGCTATGGACTCTCCCCTTGACCACCAGTAGTCCTAACCCTCATCAGCCCGTTCAGCAGCGATGGCTAATCACAAATCCTACTGGACAAGAAGTATGATCTATCTCACATACAGCCCCCTTAGGGACCTGACGACCACCCCTCCACCCATTCACTCCTCTCTTCTCCTGTCAGTGCCCACACCGGGTCCCACCAGGTCCTCTTACCAGCTAACCCAAAGCTCAAACCAGCTGAGGAGAGCCCTCAGACCCCTATCCAAGATGTAATGAAAATGGCCTTTAAAGTTGCTTTGTCATCACTGAAAACAGGTTACTAAGAATTTAAAGTCCCTCACAGGCTTTTTGGGATACTCACTCCAGTCTTCCCTTCTGCTCTACCTGTTCTACTACTCAAGTTTTTGTTGCTAGGAAAATCCCAAACCCCTTTCCCATTATCCACGGAGCTGCTCTCAGCCCCGCCTTCCCCGTCTTCCCCCTCTGTACCAGGCCCACAGAAAAGTCTTAACTGACCTTCTCCAGAAGTCTTCACCATGGCTGACTTTAGGACTTTCAGCAAAAGAGTCCCTATAAAAGAGTTCAGTATAGATAAACTTCCTCTTTTCATGTTTCCCTGTTCTACTTGGCCACTGGCTGGAAAATATCAGCACTCCTAAGCTAGATACCCCCTTACTAGTTTTTCACAAAATATGTGAACAAGGCCTCTGGCCTTGAGCTGGGGCTTCACAGAGATGGCTACATTTCTAAGATAAAAAAGTTATCAACTGGGCTCCATGGTAACAGCTGGCAGGGGGAAAAAAAGAAAAGAAAAAAAATTTTTCTCCCCCTCCCAGGTGTCCTTGAAAAGTTAACTTGCCCAGAACAGAGGAAAAAAACAGAAACAAAAACTGCTTTTTGTGAACTTCTGCAGACTGTGAACTTCTGAGCCCCTTCCCTTACATGTTGAGTACAAAATTCTGAAACTACCTAAACTTGGGGTTCAAAGGATTAATTGATTACAACAGAAGCAATGCCCTCTGAATCCGGTTGCAACCAAATAGGACTGTTTCCCTGTCTTCGGTGCTATCTTAGGTGCCTTGCCTTGTCCGTCCCTACAACAGTATAATTCTATATACTTAAACATTATTTATGTTTTCATGAAATGGTCAACAGATGTGATTAATTGTATAATGGTGCAGATGTTTCCCAGAGTGCTCTATCATGACACAGGTTCATTTAAAGATCAAATAAGGGGACATACAACCCGGTTCCACCGGGAACCCGTATCCCTCACTTTAGCCATCCTTTTAGGAATAGGAGTTGCTGCAGGGGTGGACACAGGGACCACTGCCCTGGTCCGTGGGACACAACAAATGACCCAATTAGAAACAGCAATGGACCAAAACTTAAAGATATTAGAAACCTCCATCACAGCTTTGTAGGAATCTTTAACCTCTCTCTCTGAAGTTGTTTTACAGAACAGGCGAGGGTTGAACCTCCTCTTCATGAGAGAAGAAAGCCTTTGTGCTGCATTGAGGGAAGGATGTTATTTTTATGCCGACCATACTGGAGTTGTAAAAGAATCTGTGAGTAAACTAAGAAGACGCCTTGAAGAGCGTCAGAGAGAGAGAGAGGCCCAAAAAGGGTGGTATGAGTCTTGGTTCACACAGTGCCCCTGGTTAACTACGCTTTTATCAGCCCTGGCCGATCCTTTAATAATTCTTATATTGTTGCTAACTCTAGGACCCTGTTTGCTCAACCGTGTAGTTTCCTTTCTCCAAGCCCAAATTGGACAAGTCGAACTTATGGTAATCAGACAACAATATACCCCACTAGCAGACACAGAATGTGACACCCCCCAATGATCACTTTTATGATTAAAAGTAGCCAGAAGAAGAAGTGGGGAATGAAAGGTTAATAAAATAGGTACTTGCACTCCGTTTTTCTGTATGCTTAACAAAACACTGTTGAAATCCTGAGAACTGTTTGCTAATCTTGTTCCCAGAATGTGCTGTCCCCAACTGCCAAACTACAGAATGCACTCCCTCACTCGGTTACAGGCAAACTGCCCACTCGCCCTGACCCGTCAATGAACTTCCCTCCCTGCCCTCTCCAAGAACAGTATATAAGCTCTGCTTAAGCTGTTCCCAGGGCTCTATCTCTCTTTGCTCTAGGGAGCTCTGAGCCCCAGCATGCTGGTCCCCAAATAAACCCTTTTGCTGTTGCATGAGACAGTGTCTTGGTGGTCTCTTCCTCCGACGTTTCGCCGGTCCCTTACATTTCTGTTGGACCCAGAACTGAGAGTTAAAACCTTGACTAGAGAGAGCTTCTGTGCAGCGCTTAGTGTCAGAATAAATTCCTCTTTTCCCTGTGTTCCAATAGCAGCAGATTCCACTCTTCCCACGGTATATCCTTTGTCTAACCTGTGCTGAGTATCTCCAGGTTGGGGACCATCCTGGTTCATCTTAATTTTCTCTCTGTTCTTGACAAGTATAGAGTGAGCATTTGTTGAGCTGAAGTGAGAGGGAATTAAGTTATTTCACAGGCTTCACAGTCCCCAGTGGATCACACATTTTCTGTCTAATTAATAAGGACTTTGGCTGCCTTGGCTACCTCTGGTACACTTGTACCTCCTGGGTCTTTGCTTTTTCTCTCTTTCTTTTTCAGTCTCTCTTTGGTAGTAATCATATCTGTCTTGTCTCCTTCATAGGGCATTTGGTAATATACAGTAAGAAAATGTAGAATTCTAATGAGTTGGAAAAGGACTTGTAGACTGGAATCCCTTGTAACATCTCTACTGGGCAGTCATTTGGATTCTGCTTAGGGGCTGAAAGGGTTCCTAGTATATTTTGTAACTGTAAATTGAGGCCTGCAAATAGCCTAACTTTTTCATTTCTCAATGATTGAATAGGAAATTCTCTCTTACATCCCCATTCTACCTATTGGCAGAAAAATCACCAAGGCAAGTTTAGGTTTCTTAGTTATTTTAAGTTTTAAACTCAGCCATTTTAATGGACTCCATCTCCCTGGTGGCAGACTTGAAGGCCATGCATGCTTACACAGAGCCAGTTTCTGGAGAAATACATTGTGCTGGCACCCACTATGACATAGTCTTGTCTGGTTCCTGGGCACAGCCTCTTTTACACTGGCACCCACCATAATGTCCAAATTTCCACTTATTCTTTCATTTAAAACCTAAAAACTATAAAATGTTCACATAAATACCATTGTTTATGAAAACAACTATTTTGGAAATAAAAATTAATGGTTAGAGTGCCTTTTAGAAGAACATTTCTTCAAATCTCTTTAATATCTGGCTTAGTAGAAGAGAGCTGAATTCTTCTGTTTCTTCATTCAATCTTGTGACAATGCTATTTTGGTCAAAGCATATAAAAACAATCTGGCCTCATACAATCAAGTAGTTGGAAAACAGAGGAATGTTTAATAGGCTTTGAAGATGACTATCTTTATTCTTCTTTAATACTGTACCAAAACTCAAAAGTGTTAGTTTCTTGAAGGTTAGTTGTAATGTGGAGTCTGAAATCAAAGCAATAAAATTTTCACATTCAGTCACATTAAAATGCATTGGGTTTTCTTGTACATTTTTACTCATCATGCTTGATGTCATAGCATTGGTCATTTGAGAAATTGGTTTGTTGAGTTTGTCAGATCTTTTAAATGTTGACACATGTACTTATACAATATCAAAATTCACATTCATCTATTTAGTGGGAAAAGTCTTTAAGTATTAGGATGCTGTCAAGCTCACGGTGGTAGGTATAAGTTTTCCAACATTCTACTTTTGACTTGAGAACTCAAACTGAATTCTAGAGAACTAATTCTGTCAATTGTTTTCTTTGACAAGCCAGGCAGTTTCACTGGTTTATTTTGAAGAAAACACTTGAAAATACTGAAGACTGCCAAGACTCAAAGTGTGAATAACCATAATTGTCTTTGGTCTTTCATGGGAATAAAAAATGATTACCTTAGAAAAATGCAGCTAGTTCAGCTTAAAACTCAGTCACACTCCTGCTTTTCCTTGAGACAATCACTGCCCTTTGAACGACACAGAAGTGCTTTATGCAAACTGTCCATTTAATCACATGAAATATTAAATCCACCCAAGAGACTAGAATGGATGCAATTAATAACTTGTACTGTGTCATAAAGTCCTTCTTCAGGGAAACAGGCATGGATTTAACACGGGCATGTGGTGAGAAAGAATGTGACAACCTGCAGCACCATTTGCTGCCACCACCTTGCTCCATACTAAGGTGACAGCAGCTTGAAGCACTTTTGCTTTTGCATCATCAGTGCAAATATCAACAGGTTGAAAATTAACATTTTAGTATTAATTTTAACCTCATGAATGCCCTGAGGGGTGTTGGTATCCCCAAGAGGCCCCGGAAGCTGATACCTGTTGGCCTACACACAGGATTCTCTTTAGTCTGTGAGGCTCCCATAGTCTGCCCAGCTCTCCCTTAGGTGGGTCCAAACATTTGGCTTTGAAAGAAGGCCTTAGTCTGCTCCCCATGATTTAATGGGGGCATTTGGAATCTCTGAGTCTGCCTCCGGCCACTCATGCCCAGTGTTGTGGTATGATGTCTGCTATCCCTTTGGTTGCTGTGGTGGTGTTGGGATGCTGAGAAGGTAAGCACCATGAGTCAACCCTGTCAGTCTCAGATCCTCAGATTTGTGTATAGGAGGGTTGGTTGTCATCAGTTTCAGGACTTGATGGTCATAATATCCCCACTAAGGAGACTTGTCAACATTCTCATATTGAACCTACATCTGCCTTCTATGATATTCACACTTTGTCATAACTCCCATCTTTTGGATTACAAAGAACAATTTTAATGCCTTTTCAAAAACAACCTTTTTGACCTTTTTTAGCTCAAAACATCCCTGTCACTTCTATTCTCAAATATAATGATAATGGTGAGAATGTGACAATTGAATTTAAGTTTTTGCATAGTTATTTGTTCAATGTAATTTTGGGCCAGTCAGTTTATTTCTTTGGTTTTAGGTTCATCATCCATAAAATGAGGGTAATTTTTCTCAACTTGTAAGGTGCTTTGGTGTGTGGGGATTTAATGAGATAAGTCTTTTAAGGAATCAAATTAAATGTTAAGTGCATAGCAGATACACAACGTTATTTTTTTTTCTTTTTGGAAAATGTCAAATTTTCCCATAGTTTTTCTTAAAATATGAGTGTTTAAAAGTGTGATAGCAATGCGATATATTATTACTGGTAAGGGCACCATGTTATCAGGTCTTATTAAGAGTAATTGCAGTACTTCCACCTTGGTTCGTCAAAATCTATAAATCTGATCCTATGGTCTACCCGCTGTAGCAGCAGAAAACCGAATCATTATGGTATCTATAACAATAACTGTCATTTGGGGACTCTTTTGCTTTCTTTTTGGATGAGAGAATAAAGGGTTGTCAAAATAAATGTTTGGAGGTCTGAGATGAAAAACTTCACTACTGAGATACTCGGGATCTCCATAAGCAAAAAAGAAATGGACGACTCATATTTCACAGAGGGAATTGAAGTTAAGGAGCAGATGAGAGGAGAAAAAATAAATCCCTTATCATATCAGCAAAAAGAAGAAAATGGATTCAATGGCTTTCCACTATTCCGACAAGCAATAAAATGGTGACATGATAGCTAGGATCAGGAGAGTGTAGAAGAGTGATCTAATTGCTAAGCTCTCATAAACCTAAAGTTCATTAAAAACAAAGTTGAGAGATGTGGAAATGTACAGTAAAGGAGGCCATGGAGTCTTTGGAGATGAAAAGATCATTAATCTCTGGGGGCCATTCTAGCCAGTGATAGTGTGGTGATTGCAGAAGGCCTCTTACAGCTTTATGAATTCCAGGACACCTCATTTATCTGGAATTATGTTCCACAGGAATAAGCTATTTCCCAGAAAAACAAAAAGTCAGCTAATTAAATTATATCCCTCCAAAACTAAGACTATTTTTTTTAAAGAGTGGTTTATAACCCAGCGTTTGAGAATGTTTCATAGAGTTTCTGAACAGCCTAAAATTACATGGAAGATTTTGTGGGCTTTTTATCACATGCATTTTTTGATAAGAGAATCCATATTTTTTATAAGTTTTTTCAAAATGCTCTATTATCTAAATGCACTGAGGACTACTGCTATAGCAACCATTGAAGTAATTGTTTTTCCAATTAATCATTCACTTTACTATTTTATTTGCCACTAATTGTGAAACTCTTTTTAGGGATATTGTTTTCTTACTAGTCTATCCTAAATTCTTATCATTTGGATTTCTTATATTGCGTTTTTGTGGGTTGTCCTGTTTTCTCCTTCACTTATACAGTTAACTTTTCCCTTGTTACTAGCAAGTTTGTTTCTAGCAATCTCTTCCTGCCTAGAGTAAAGTAGCTGGAAAATTAAATATCAAAACCTGTTAGAGTACTAGCAAGTAGATTCTTAGCAGTTCTTTCTATGAATAAAGATGAGGTGTTGGAACAGACTATGGAATATCTCTTGGTAAGACAGGGACCAGCTTTGCTTTCTTCCTGTTCTTCACTTGTGGCCTTGAGAACCAAGCTGATTCCCCAGCATTTGAAAGGTAAATGCATTATTGACGCAAAGTAGAATCCACTGGGATGCAACTTCCACTCTGTGATTTTAGGCTTTGTATGAGTCAACTGTTGACACAATAATGCTATGTAACAAACTACCCCATAACTAAGTGACTTGCAGCCATAAGCCTTTATTTCTCCTTGTCTGTAGGTCAGCTAGACCTTTCCTAATTTAAGTGTGTTTAATTGGGCTTCTTGGCTCAAAACTGTGGATTGGACAGAGGACTGCCCAAACATGTCCTCTTGGACTAGTAGCTCTTTGAGGCAAAGGTGGGGGATAAGAAAGCTGAGGAGAGGCACATTTTGTCTCTAAAGGCCTAGACTGGTCACAGGCACATTCTTACTTCCACCCACCTTCCATTGGGCACAGCAAACCATATGGTCAAGCTTAACCACAGAGAAAGGAAGAATATTCCTCCCAAAGACAGCAAATGAATATTTGCTGAATAATTACTTAACTGACCACAAGCTGCTCCTTCTTACAAGTGAATTCAGATTTTTTAAAAAGGAAAAGTAACTACAGATCTCCTTGATATGGTTTTTTAAAAAGGCAGATTATACATTCAAGTAAAATATCAAAACTTCTAGCAGTAAGGACTCTGGATTGTTAT